TCCCGTTCCCCAGCACTACTTCGAAACTTTTTCTATTCCTGAGAATTCATGCATGAAGAAGTATTTCAAACTTCTTTCCTGAATCAACATGCTTACATTGATTTTAGAACCTAAAAAATAATGCTGCAATCTGTATTTTCCTGAAGGTGGCAGGATAGGTTATTTTTTAAAAGACATTTGCTCTCTCTCTCTGTCTGTTTATATCCCTTCAAGTTGCCTGTTGATATATGGTGACTCCATGAATTTCATAGTTTTCTGTGCTTCTTCTGTCTAAATGTGCTGTAAAGCTCACAATGCAGCAAACAGGTGCCTCTTAATATATATGTCTGTATAATTTTTGCAGAATGATTTTTTTTTCAGAATTGAAAGATTCTCTCTCTCGTATGGGATCAGACCTGAAACAGGGTTTCATCAGCTCTTTGAAAAGTGCTTGGCAGACCCTTAATGAATTTGCACGTGCTCATACCTCTTCTACTCAACTCCAGGAAGAATTGGAGAAGGTGGCTCATCAAATTAAAGAAGAAGAAGAAAAAGATGAGACAGAAGGTTGGTCGTACGTAGCTCTTTTTCTCCTCAGTAATTTCTCTTTGTTAAAACTGGAATGTGTTGCATTCATATTATTATTATTATTAATTTATTTATATCCTGCTTTTCTCCTGATGTAGGGACTTAAGGGAACTAACAACAAATTAAAAAACATTTTTGCCCTCAGATCTTAAGTGTGGCTCCTCTTTACTTTAGATGCTTAGGTGTCAGTTTTGACTCTGAAACATCTAGCTCTGAATCTGCCCAACAAAAATAGTATTATTTAATTATTATTTTTTAAAAAATATTTACTTTGAATGTTTTGTTAAAAGGAGAGTTCTGCATAATAATTCTTGTTTTTGCCATTTAGAACTTTTATTGGTCAAACAGAATGTACTTGCTAATTCTGCAAGCTTCATATGTGACCGTATAATGATGGGGTATTTCTACTAAAATGAATGGCCTTTGTCAGTGATTGGGGTGCAGTGCCTAGAATAGTGATATATACAGAAGACGTCAAGGAGTTTGCCTGTTTCATCTTGTCTGTGATTGAATATTGCTAACAATTGTTTTCTTTGATTTTATAATCTTACCAAAAGGTTTTTTTTTGTCAAAATAATGTACTTCTGTTGGCAAAGCCAAAGACCTATACTAGGAATGCCCTGTGGAAATCAAACTTTTTATCTTTGCTTCAAATCCTGTTGATGGTCTCAATTAGAGCCCAAATTAAAGTAGACCTATTTGATAAGTTGTCTGCACTTATGTGAGTACAATTGATTTAGTGGGCCTACTGTAGCTGAGGCTGTTGAATTTAGGTTATTGAACAACAAATCCCAGCTTGTATCACATCTGCTTGGCAAATAGTATAAGGGACTTCCGTTTGAGAAACACAGATTCTAGGCCCTTCAGGTATCTGGAAGTCCTGCAGTTTAATGTGGGTTTGGCTATGGAGATTCCTTTTATTGAGCGGGGACAATAAAGGCATTTCTTTATTTGTGGCATAATACGGTAATATTATAGTTGTTGTAAGCAGAGAAGAAATGCAGAACCAAGAACTGATTAAACTTGTGGTGTACTTCTTGTGCTCACTTTCTTTCAACTGTAGCAGAAAAGATGGTTGAGAGTCCAGATATTTCAAAAGATGAAGACTTGAATGTAAAAGTTGGTTTGCTAAATGGTGGTCGTCGTATTGATTATGTTCTGCAAGAAAAGCCCATAGAAAGTTTTAATGAATACCTGTTTGCTCTGCAGAGTCATTTGTGCTATTGGTAAGCATTTTCCTCCTGATATTTGATAGAAACTTTTGTGAACTAATATATACTTACTTTACTAATATATATATTTTAGCTGTTCCTTTCCTGGTCTTACATGGACTTGAAAAAAAATCAGTTGCATTTTACCTTTTGCATTAAGAAGCAGAGTGTTAGCAACAGTATAGGCCAAGCTCCTCTTGCACATCTGTGTTAACATAACTACACTACCAATTACAAAAAGCCACAGGCACACCACTGTGAAGGCAAAGAGGCAGAATCTTCGTAGCCATTTGAAAATGCATGCTGCTGGCTCCAAGCAGCCTGTTTTTTCAATGCCAGCCTGGGGGGTGGGGGTTGAGGTCCTTGCAAAAATAGGTAGTGTTGTAAGTCACTGTTGCCAGGACACACCAGATTCCTATCCCCACGAAGCCCAGTGTTGGAGAAACAGGCTGCTTGAAGCCAGCAGCCTTCTTTTTCAGATGATGAGCACAAAGAATCTTCTTTCTATCCATCTGTATGACTGAGGGTAAAATGCATGGAATTTAAGCAAACATACTTCACCAATAGGATTCAAGTCATTTAATAGCTCCACAGTACACAGTTAGAAAATGAAACACATTCTGAACGTGTAAAAGCTCATGAAAGTTGCAGCCACTTTCATTCATTAAAAAATGGGATTCTCTCTCTTCTTAGTAAGCTAATAATTTTACATGCCACTTCTTATTCTGACCTGGAGATTTCCTCTTGTAAATGGCAGAAGGTTCATAGGTTCTGTGTAAGAGTCCTTGCAACAGTCCAGTGTTATGGATATTGATGCAAACCGTTTATGTGGTTGCACCAATTTAAGAGATCCTCTCCTAGTACAGAGTTGCCAAGCACAAAACCTAAAGTATCAAGTGCTGGATTCCAGATAAACCAGCTTCTTGCAGCTTGTAAGATTAGGCTGTTAGCAACAGTTGAATTTAGTAAATAAGGCAAGGACTCTGTGACTGTGCTAATACTTTTCTGAAAGCCTTTATTGTGTGAGAGCTGTGCCTGATCTTCAGATGGAGCTTTCTTCTGAATAGCTTTCTCAAGGAGAAACAGATTTATGTTGCTGTATGGGATATATCCATTTGTAAGTTGTATGTTGGATGGAGTATTTTTCTGAGAAGCATCAAATATGGATACTTCTAGCTTGTCAACAAAACAGTAGATCTAGACTACCAAAAAAAATATTTTAAGTTCAAAATTTGGTTTGTGTATTTTGAATTGTCTTATTGATAGAAGAAAAGAAGTTGCCCAGCTTGTTCTTTGTGTTTTTTCCCCCCTATGAACCTGATGCTCCAATCCATTTTATTTGGGCCATGTGAACTACAGCTCTGTATCATTCACCATAAGGTGGCATACTTGAGGTTTTTTTCAGAATACATTTTGAGAGAGAGAGAGAGAGAGAAGAAGAAGAAGTTATGAAATCAGTATTCTTCTTGAAAGTATTTTCTGATATTAAAAGTAGGCTAGGGCTAAATGACTGACTGTTTAACTTTTATCCTTGAGGTAATAGAATAATGAGCCAGTGTACCATAGTGGTTTGAGTGTTGGACTACAAATTTGGAGACCAGGGTTCGATTCCTGGCTTGGCCATGAAACCCATTGGCTGACATTGGGCAAATCACATGCTCTCAGCCTCAGGTGAAGGCAATGGGAAACCTCCTCTCAACAAATCTTTCCAAGAAAACCCACTCTTAGAGTTGCCATGATTTGGGAATGACTTGAAGGCACATAACAGCAATAACAGTAACATGACATACTTTTCTATTGAGAAATAATATTTACAGGATTTTTTATATCACAAGGTATAAGGTCAAATACATACTAAGGCTTATCTTGCAACTTTTCTGTTCTTCTGCTAGATTATAGGCCTCTACTAGATTATAAAGGATGCAGTGGCTCAAGTGGTTAAGATGATGACTCTCTTGATTGCAAGATTGGTGGTTGGCAGCTTAAGGCCCGGGTGCTGCATGATGGAGTGAGCTCCTGTCACTAGTTCCAGCTTCTGCCAACCTAGCAGTTTGAAAGTGTGCAAATGCAAGTAGATAAATAGGTACCACTTCCCAGTGGGAAGGTAAACAGTGTTCTGTGCAGTCATGCTGGCCACATGATCACAGAGTAGTCTCTGACAACGCTGGCTCTTTGGCTTAGTAACTGAGACGAGCACCGCCCCCTATCATCAGACACAACTTAACAACCTTGTCAACAGGAAATACCTTTAACTTTACCTTATTCTAGATCATAAGCTTTTGAGAAGAAAATGTGTTGTGTTCTTTGGCTTTGTACTTGCATTCTTTCAAGTCATTTGCAACTTATGGTAACTCTATAACAGACTTTTCTTGGCCAGATTTGTTCAGAGGAGGGTTCCCTTTGCTCTCCTCTGACACTGAGAGAATGCAACTTGCTCAGGTTCACCCATTAGGTTTCAGTGGCTGAATGGGGATTTGAACCCTAGGCTCCAGAGTCATAGTCTACCATTATAACTTCTACAACTGTGCTGGGTCTACTTAGTTTTAAATAACAGGGTTATTAGAATCCTGGCAAATACATCTAACTGAATGGTTGATGGATTTAAAATCCAATCTCTATTCTGTCTTGTAAAACTGGTGATAGTTTGTTAAGAACTAACCACAGATTATTTAAAAGGTAAAATATATATGTACAGTATTGAAAGGATTAGGAACACTGTAATAGCAAAGCGTACAAACTCAGTGATAGGCATTCAGCCGTGTCACTAGGTCTATGCTTGTAGCTCAGTACTTAAATTGAGATTATCAGGATGTATATCTGTCTGATTTACAGATAAGATGTTAAAATGAATAGCATGACAAGTCTTAATAAATTTAGGTGACTACTCATAACACACACCCCCCCCACTTGCTGCAAGGGGTTCTCTTATAAATCAAGGCATTCTGGAAGGTGAATTAAGTGAATGCCAGTTATGGTCTGTAAACCATATAAACGCAGTGTGAGCAATTGTGGAAGGATGGGGGCTACAATATCTCCCCAGAAGACCTCAGAGGGCTGCCCCCTGCAAAAAAATCCCCTCCCAGCACCATTGAGGGAACATATGGGGTTTTTTCACCATGTCCTGGGACCTTCCTGGGCCATCTTAGCCCTTAGAGAGCCCCCCATTTAACAACCTCCTGTTTTAAAGAAGAAAAAACCTTCCCTATGGCCTAAATTTGCCATGAGGGGCCAAATCTTGGTAGAAATGCCTCCCACATCCTGAGAGGGTATTTTGGTGCAAAACTATTTGGGGGGAAAATTGCATTTTTTTTTAACCTCTAGGTACCTCTAAACATTGTGGAAATCCCTCCACACCTCCAAAAGGCCATTTTGGAGCATTTCTTCTTACCCTAGGGGGCTCCTGGAGGACACAGATTGATAATGCTGCGTTGACGTCATGGAATACAAAGTAATATCCAAGCAATGAAGGAAATTAAGTTGTTAGCAGTGTGCCTTTATTTCCTGTGTCTGGCAGGGAGTGGAAAATGTTGGATTGACTGTGATTAAAACCTACAGAAGCTTTAGTTCTCCTAAAACTCCTGTGAAATCCAACTAAGAATGGGAAAGCCAAACTTGATGGTACTTCATAAGACAGGGAGCTTTTATAACGGGTAGGCAACCTTTCCCCTTTAAGGGCCGAGGGACTTCAGCCCCCAGAAGCCTCAGCCATGTTGGCCAATAGTCCCATGTTGGCCAATAGCTCCTGGGATTCTGGGAGCTGAAGTCCCTCAGCCCTTGAAGGGGAAAGGTTGCCTACCCCGGGTTTAAGGAATGAGCAAACTAGATTAGAATGAGCTACAGGAACCTTTGAGAAGTGAGTGGAATACACAGAGGTTAGAACATGGGTAGGCAACCTTTCCCCTTTAAGGGCCGAGGGACTTCAGCTCCCAGAAGCCTCAGCCATGTTGGCCAATAGTTCCATGTTGGCCAATAGCTCCTGGGATTCTGGGAGCTGAAGTCCCTCGGCCCTTAAAGGGGAAAGGTTGCCTACTCCTGGGTTAGAAGGTTGGAGAAGATTGTAAAGTAAGTGTCAGGTGAATTAGAATTCTCATACTTAATGTCACTGTTTTGGCTAGAAACCTTTACATGTAATAACCTGAAAAAACTGATGAGACTGAAGGAGAAACAAATACTTGAGATGTGTGAGAGGGCTGGATTTCAAAGCAAGAAAAGAAACCACTGGAAAATCAAGACAGTAGTCTTTAAATCATTGTGAATGACTGATTAGCTATTTGTCTTTGCTGAATTTACAGAGCACAATTTTAAATGCTTTAATTTTAAGACCCTGAAGTAGACAATTCCTTGCTGAATCAGCAAGCATTTTTATCTGCAGGGAATCAGAAGACACTGCTTTGCTTCTCTTGAAAGAAATATACAGAACAATGAACATCTATCCTGAACAGCCACAACATTGATGTATGGACATCTGTCTTTCAGAATCTGTAAGTAATCTTCAGTATAAATGCAACAGAAAGTTGTCTCTGCTTGAGAGGACTAAATCGCACGTAGAACAGGGAAGTCACAGAGCTCCTTTTGGACTGTGTATGAAAAGATTAAAACAAATCAGTGTTTCTTATGGGGAAGAGTTGCCCACATATTTTAAATGTATTTGGACATACTGTATGTTTTTCATTTAAAAACTTGTATATGTTTGAGCTGCTTTTATGGCACTACCTTGTATGCTGTATTTTTTATCTTTTGTTTTAAATGATTTCACATTTTAAAAATTAATGGCATTTTAATATGGTAGCTTGTTCAGCTGCTTTTTTTTAATTACCAGATTTTAGTTTTGTTTTATTATAGTCTACCTTTGGTCCTATACCAGGTGAAAAGTGTGATATAATATAATATAATATAATATAATATAATATAATATAATATAATATAATTAAATAAATATCCTTTTTCTGGCTTCAGTGTATTTATGTATATCCTACTTGCAGTTCAGTAATTTCCTTCCTAGTAAGATGAATGAACGTGGTACTAGAAACAGTACCCTCCCTACTTTTTTCCTTTATCCATGATTGTGGTTTGGAACATAAGGCAAATAAGCTACCAGTTACACATTTCATGTTGGTTTGAATGTTAAACATATGGGGAAATCATGAAACTCAAATATCTTGCACTTCCAGTGCTTTGTGTTTCAGTTGGCCCTTGATATCCACTGGGGTTTGGTTTGAGGACCCCTTGTAGATAACTAAAATCCATGGATGTTCAGGTCCTGTTATATATAATGGGGGTAATAAAATGGTGTCCCTTATATCAAATGGCAAAATCAGTATTTGCTTTTTGGAATATTTATGGAATCTGTGAATACAAGGGACCAACAATATTTTGTAATATTGAAAGTACTGTAGAATGTTCCCATCCTTGTGGCAGGTTTCATAATCAACTCCTAAAGCCATTGTCAAAGGAATTTTCTAACTTTGTTACAAACCTAATGAAATTTACCTCCTGGTTATAAAAATTAACAGTATCGTATAAGCTTGGAATTATTAAAATACTTCCAATGTTGATATGGCAGCAGAGGTTTTTCAGTAATTATGAAAACATGAGCAAGTAAAAGGGATCAGTTCATTAACATATCAAAGGTATCAACAATCGAATACAGTATTTCAAATACAAAATATAGAATACAAATACAAAATACAGCATATCAAAATACAAACAAATAGTAAAATAGCTCAGTCCTAAAACAAATGTAAGATTAAATGGGGTTAGAACATATTCGTTCAAATAAACAGCTAGATAAATAAAACGATATACTAAATAAACTATCAATACAATATAAAATATAACAACCTAAAACTGGGGTAAATGACTGAAAGACTAAGGAGTTTAAATAAGCTCATCACCATAACACGACACTCCATGATGAATAATAATTGCTCTCTCAAATGAGCAGCTTTTATAAGAAATTTTGCTGTACATCTCACTAAATGTAAGTTCTCCCCAGCGAGAAAATAAGATAATTTAGCAATAAGCTCCCAATTATTTGTTCTAGCTAGGTAAGATTGTTAAAAGTGAGATCTCTCCTTAACATATATACTACAATCAAACAGGATATGTATAGTGTCCTCTACAATGGAGGCACCACAAATACATGTTCTTTCGTGATAAGGTATTTTTCAGACTCGACCTGATCTGACCATAGATTTTAATTGCTCAAATCTAGCTCTTGTGAAAGCTGTTCTCTGGCTTTGTGTTAGCTGTAGTCTAAGATATTTTTCTAAGCCAAAAAAAAGTTTTATAATTACGTCCAAGATTTTAAAGATTTACAACCAGCCATCTCAGCTATATTTATTTGAGCACTAATATCCCAAATCCTTTGTTTTAGAATTTCCCGAGCTTTGCGATCCACAGAAAGAAAAAAGAAAAAGACAAGCCTAACCAGTGTAATGATAGGGAAAGCTGGGATACCCAAAAGTTTGGATGGCCAATAGCTGTTCATTCAAACAAAGTTTGGGAAATCTCCCTAACTCCATTATTATGGATCTTTAACCAGTAATTAAAGGCCTTTTCCAAGACCTGACATTGGGTTGAATAGGTTCCAAGTTCTGCTCTCACTGCTTGTGCTGGAGTGG